CAAATAAAAATCTCAATCGCAAACTAATTTAATACGCAAATGTAATTGCTAGAAATCTCATCAAGTACTCAAATAATAATCATAAATAGATTTGCGAGGGAAAAGGTATAATTTTGGTTGACGTGAAACTTACCTGAAATCACGATAACTCCTAACCAAAGCTTCTACCTCGATCTTCACGAAATTCACATTCTAGAATATAAAAATTTAGAATTAGCATCTTATTCTGTTTTTGCTATATATTTTACCCCATTTTCTACCAAACTAATCGGTATCACTTAATTATAGCTGATTATTAATTTAATCCCTTTTTATTTAATTAAGTCCGTTTAGTTAACCAGGCCATATAATCTTTAAATTTAATTCTTGGTGTTATTTAGTCCATTTTCCAATTAATAAAGTAGTATAAATATTCCACGTCAAATTTTAATATTCAGTTCTGTCATTCGGCCATAACCCACTTCAGTGTTAATCTTATTTTCTTTGTTAACTAGACAGACCTTTTCATTTTTTTTTTAATAACGGCCCAGCAACAACGAAGAAAACAAAGATGCAGTGACGTACTTCTTCGCCGACTAACAATCTGGAGTGGGGAGGGCGACACACGGCAAGGCAGGGAACTCCGGTGAGATGGCGACAATCCTCGTAGCGGCAGCGGTATTCGACGACGGTGATGTTCAGAGACAGCAATCCAGTCCGGCAGCGCAGCTACAACAGTAGATTCAATGATCGATCTTCACTTCTCTGGCGAAGATAGTCGTTGGTCCGGCACTAACCAGGATGTTGTTCTTCTTCTTATCCGGCGACAGAAATTCGGCCCGACTCGTGTATACGTAGTATGTATTTAGATGTATGGTTACAGCCTTACAGGGTTGTGTTTGTGGAGGGTTATACGTAAAAGATACGAAGTATATACGTAGTATGTACGTCGGAACGTGGTCTCCCGTAGTATATAGAGTAGGTATGCGTAGATCGCGTATGTATATGCTGCAGTCGCAGGTGTATGCGGATGTGCAGGGGGAAGGTCGCGTATATATATGCTGAAGTCGATGCTTCTAGACTAGGGCTTCATACGTTAGCAAATTCTTTCATATATACGAAGTAATAGCAACCGTCTGGGCGGCCCAAGAATTTCACGTATATAAACTTACGCAGGGCTATTTTGTGGGCATTGAAAAGTCAAATTTTTATAATATTATAATTATCATGTCCTTGCTAATATATGAGTATATATTAGGTTTGTGTTATATAGTTGTGTGATACGCATATTACGTATGTGTATTTTATGTCACTTTATTTATGTCACAAAATTTTACTTGACCAACTATGAAATAAATTATATTCTTTTATAAAAAAAAAATTTGGAGTGTCACATAATAGAGGCGCCCGTAGATTATATAGACATACATAAATTACTTTGTGGAACGAATGTGGAGAAGTAGCTTAGATCCAACTACATAATCTACTTGCACACTAGGAAAGTCAGCCTGATAATTATAATCTAGATCAGACATTTTCTGTTGGGATATAACGACTCCCAAACCACCAGCTTCTTTCACCGTGGCCCGAATAATCGGCAGTATACACCATATCTCAAAGGCTAAAACACAACACCACATTTCCAGCTAACCATGTATCATTTTTTGATAGGGATTCACAATACCTATGATGTTTAATAAAGATCCATCAAAGAAATTGCTATAACTAACATTACACACATGCAGAGTGTGTGTAATAATGTAATGAACTTTTGCAAATATATTGGAACATGTAAGTACTAAATACTGGATGTTATACCCATCAGAGTCGTCATAAACCAAGTTAACAAGACCTGTGTCATTCCCGGTGAACAATGCTTCACCCTACATTTATAAACTGTTAGGAGATGAGAGAGATATTTTTTTACTGGTACTACATACTACTCCTAAATTACTGGAATATTACATTATTATGCAAGCATTCCAAAATTACAGGAGTGAGGAACATGGTACATATTTAAAACGTGGTATGACCATCCGACTAGTGATGTCATGTAATGCGCACCATGCAAATTGGATGGAGATCCCGTTACATTGTCGTGATATACAACCATCTATGAACGTTTTATATAACATAACGGCGTTGGTTGAGAGCTGAAGATCGGAGACGCACGAGTTTCACTTGTGTTGTGGTGAGGTGGACATCACTTTATAGAATGAAAGCTGTTGTTGAGGTTGCCCGTTGATGGACTACAACTCTCCGAATCTATCAAGAGTTCGAAGGTGGTTTGGATTCAGATGTGCAGAGATTTTGCAAACTTAAACATGTCGGAAATAAAAATGAACACAATTCGCCATTGCAACTAGACAAGGATGACACAAGCGTGTATGTCATCATACACACAAGGGTACTCATTTGGCAATTACTCGGTGGATTATTGTTCCCACAACTAGTGGGATCAAAGTGAAGTTATATTTTCTAGAGGTGATGTAAGCACCACTCGATGAGGCATGACGGTGGAGCTGGCATGGGGCTCCAGGGTATTGGGATACATCTATCAAGAACTTATTCGGGCTCCTCCAAGATTGTCACCTAATGTACCTATATTGATAGCGGTTGAGGAATCTAATAAACTCCCTCCAGGTTATGACATTGATCACAAATGGACAAAGATGAGTATTTCTAACAACTTCCATATGAAGGATAAACAATCTACATTATTAATCAATATTAATATAGAGGTTTTTCATAAAAATATCACCGAAATAAAAACTGATTTACAGAAACATGATTAAAGTTACTATGAATTTATTGTCATGATCACTTAATTAAAACAATTCAACATAAGTTACACTAATTATGTAGGGGAATAACATTCACATTTAATCAAATTATTCATAGCACTCCTCTGATGTCTATTGATGATGAGAGGGGAAACAATGTACATTATTATGCATAGCAAACTTTTCTTCACTTGTTATTATGGTAGAGTGTTGATAGATATGATATAGGAATTCGAACATTGTGGTGGCCATCATTCCAAGTTAAGCTCCCAAAGTAATATCCAGTGTTGAATCTATAACTTGTGGAAATGGTCACAACAAAAGTGATTTTCTTAACATTGGGAGTGAAAATCAGTGTATCCGGCTTTACTAAAACACTGATTCCCCTTGGAGATTCAACTATAAGTCTGTATTTAGAGTTTTTAGGCCCAACGTTTGTCACCGTTCTTTTGAGAGTGACTGAGCGTTTAAGGTCTTGAATGGTTATGGAAGGGAAGTTCACATCCAGAATGGAAAACCCTTTGGGGCAATGAATGGTTTGACCATGAAGTTGACTAATGGCACTGTTGTTGTATCCCATGGCACATAAACAATGGAGATGATCAGTTGTTCTCATGTCATAGACCAGGCCGGGGGTTTTGGCTCTATTGGGATTTATGATTCCTCCCCCATAGTCAAATGCATCTGCCAATTTACTATTTGTATCTCCTTCACTGAATATTGGTTCTCCAAAAGAAGGGTCATTTGTCCATGCTACAAAATAAAAGTCAAAAGTTTTTGTGAATTTAATGTTTAAAGATGTATATTAACCTATGTTGCATTGAAACTAGAGAATCAAGGAGAAATGTAAATGCCATCTTTTAATGGAAAAGTATTGCATATTACATCCGTTGAAAAGGTTTGTCATATTGGCTTGTGTTGGTCAATGATGACAAATTTTGAACAATGATTTTTGTTATTATATTAGTATATAATTTATAAATTTTATACTTTTTTGGAAATATTTGGAATAAAGAACATTTCGATATAATTTTCATAATCCAAATAATTTCGATATATCATGGGTCAAAGTTGATTGTCAGCATTGACCAAGAAATTCAACTTGGCGAGCCTTTTTGGGATAGATGGGGTATGGCTTAAAACTATATCATCTTTGACTTTTCAAGTAAATGATAGTAAACTTTAGAAAATGGTTTTGATGATAAATGGAAGTATAATTTTATGATAAATAAAAAGTTTATACCTATGTAGCACCGATACAGGTACGTGGAAACGCGGAAACGGGTATGAGAATACGACAACACCAAAAAAAGTAGGATATGGATACGGGGCCATATTTATAAATATTAAAAGTTATGGGGGAGTATTTATAAATGTTAAAAGTTACATGGGTTTATTTATAAATATTACAAATACAATTTTTTTTGAAAAACATAGACATATATTATCCTTTGATGTCTACTCATTCATGGCATTGAAGCATTTTACATTTTCAAGATACTCAGAAATAAGTTCATATTTTATCTCATATACACTAGTGCACATCGAGATATAAATATAGTCAATAAGTCATTAATTTAAAATGAGAAATAAGCCAAACAACTACAGTTTTGAAATTAAAAGTGCAAGTACTCAAAGTTCTAGAATAATGGAGATATAAAACAATATTTTAAATGTTCTAATACATATTTCTGTTGGAGCTATTAATTTCCAGGGATAATTAGAATTAGGGATAGGAGGATGGGTGAATTAGGAATAAGCTCATTATTTGTATACCACATAAAAGCAAGGTAAAAATAATATTTAGCTTTCCATTTTTTAAGAATTTTATTATGTAAATTTTAAGTGTTTTTTTAAAAAGTTTTTTTTTGGAAGATTTTTTTTTTAAGAAGTTGATACGGGTATCCGTCAGGATACGAGTATCCGAAATTTTAAAATAATTACCAAAAAAATGGAAACTTTTAAAATTGCAGATACGGCCCAAGAACGTACGGTACGAGTATCCTAGAGTATCGGATACGGCAACGTTTCCGATACGCCGATACGACACCCTAGTGAAGTATTTTCAATAAAGAACATTTTCATATCATTGATCAACGCTTAATGTGATTATCTATATATATAACTAATTAATTATATGGAACATAACAACTACATTTTTCAAAGTTTCTAAATGAGCAGAAACATACTCTTTTTCGATAATTTTTGTGTTCGATAAATGTTAAAAATTTTAAAAACCTGTAGTGACAATTGCAGATTTGATAGCGCTTGGAGACCATTTTGGGTGTGCAGCTTTGAGAAGGGCGACAATTCCAGCCACATGTGGTGTGGCCATAGATGTCCCAGAAAGGAAATCATATGCATTTGGCACAGCAGGATCTTCGGAAATATATGCTGCTAATATATTTGTTCCAGGAGCTGCTATATCTGGCTGTAATCATGTTCATAAATATGGTAGTCATAATAATGTCAATGGTAATTATTGATTCCTCTATCCCATTAATACTTTTTAATAGCTATTCCGTTCTTTTTAAGTTGTCACACTTACATTTTACAATTCACAACTCATAACTTTGAACATTAATATATTTAATTCGTTATTAGTAGAAAATTTAGAATATCGTATTCCAAAAGTTTAAAATGAGAAGCATTCAACAATATTGTATAAAATGAAATTTCTAATACATGAATAAGTAAAGTGTAGGCAATTTAGAGTATGTAAATAGTGTCAAAGTCTCACCATTATTTAACAAGGGAGGTAGCATTTGAAATGTTATTATCTTATACATATACATTATATGTGTGTGCATGTGCATGTCATGCATCAAAATGGTGCAATACTGATGGCACGATCCAGACGAAGTGTCTGATCGTGAGGAGGGGTGTTAAATGTGCCACACCGGAAAAGTTTGGATGAACAAAGTGCTATATTAACACATGAGCTACTTCTCCTATCAGGTTGACCTTTTAGGATGCAACCTCGTGTCTTAACATGGTATCAGAGCCAAATCGATCCATGGTGTGGGGCCCCTTATGAAAAATGATGACATGATTACAAAACGGCCGGATGAAAAAAACGGACCGATGAAAAAAAAATGAATGATGGCAAGATCCAGACGAAGTGTCTGGTCGTGAGAAGGGGTGTTAAATGTCCCACACCGAAAAAGTTTGGATGAACAAAGTGCTATATTAACACATGAGCTACTCCTCCTATCAGGTTGACCTTTTAGGATGAAACCCCAACACTTAACAAACACATATTATGAAAAAATGGATCACATGCCGCAAAAGGATTCAACCTTAAGGATTTCCGGGGCTAAAGTGTTTGGGCCACGAGAAGAGTAGAATGAAACGGTACTTGAAATGGGTTTCCCAATTTGAGTTTTTGTTGGGTGTATTCGAACTCTCGGATTCCTGTACATTTTAATTACAATAGCAATATTAATAATAATAACAAATTAAAAGTAAGGGAAAAGGGTCAAATGGCCCCCGAACTTACATAAAAAGGTCAAATAAGTCATTATATAGAAGACTCTGTCCGGCCGTCACCATTTGGGCGGTTACTGGTGGAATTTGTAAATGAAATTTATTAATATCTTAATCATTAAGTCTAGTTTACCCATACCAAATTTCAGCTAACAATTCAATCGGGAACACATTCAAATGAATTCTTGAGGATAACTGCGCAGTTATCTTCAAGAATTCATTTGAATGCCTTCCTGATTGAAGTTTTAGCTGAAATTTGGTATGAGTAAACTAGACTTAATACATGAGCTACTCCTCCTATCAGGAACCGCCCCAAATGGTGACGGCCAGATAGAACCTCCTATATAAGGGTTTATTTGACCTTTTAATGTAAGTTCGAGGGTCCATCTGATCGTTTTCCCTAAAACTAATAATGAAAAAATCTACTTCTTAAAATCTACTTCTTAAAACTGTTTGTGATCCTTAAAAAACAAAATGCACCTTTTATAAATGGTATTTGTGTGTGTACAAAAACATGTATGTATGTATGTATGTATGTATGTATGTATGTATGTATGTATGTATGTATGTATGTATGTATGTATGTATGTATGTATGTATGTATGTATGTATGTATGTATGTATGTATGTATGTATGCAAAGGCGGAACAAGGGGGGGCGAGCCGGGGCCGGCGCCACCCCTTCGCCGAAGATATTTTAGTAGTAGTATACGGTACTTCGACGATTGGCGCCCTCCATAGCTTCATCTTCTTCCTTGGGAATTCGGGTCTTGGGATACCTGCGGGCTGCGGTGCGGCAGCGAGCCAGCGAGCCAGAGAGAACGATGAAAGCTGGAGCCTGTTTTTTTAATTAATTAATTGACAAAACGACGTCGTTTGGTTAAGTGCACAAGATAAGAAGAAACGACGCCGTTTTGTAATGAAATCATATATACGCGGTTGAATTCCTTGTCGTTCCTCCTTCCTCGCGTAAAATCATGTTCCTCATATAAACGACGTCGCCGGCTGCCCTAGACCATATCTCAAATCATCCGAACTTATCTGAAGGCTAGTTGCGCTGCCTACTTCCCTAGTTTGGCAATTATTATTAAAATTGAAATCTTTTTCAATTTCTTTATTTACTTATTTGGTTATTGCTTTAATTACTTATTTACATTAAAGTTGAATTGATTAATTTCTGTAAAGGTTAAATTCTTTTACAAGTTTATTGATTAATTACTTAAATTATTTGCCTGAACTTCAATTGTAAAATTGTTTATGCAATTTTATTGATTAATGTAGGGATAAGGGTCAGATAGGGTCTCGAACTCGAAAAAAAATGTCAGATAAGGTCATATTTCGGATGCTCTGTCTGGCCGACGCCATTTGGGGTGGTTCCCGATGGAATTTTTTGATGAATTTTTTTGAGCATCTTCCTCATTAAGTCTAGTTTACCCATACCAAATTTCAGCTAAAAATTCAACCGGGAAGGTAGTCAAATAATTTTCCGAAATGTACGGCGTTGTTTAACTTCACAATTATCTTCAAAAACTCATTTGACTACCTTCCCGGTTGAGTTTTTAGCTGAAATTTGGTATGGGTAAACTAGACTTAATGAGGAAGATGCTCAAAAAATTTCATCAAAAAATTCCATCGGGAACCGCCCCAAATGGCGTCGGCCAGACAGAGCATCCGAAATATGACCTTATTTGACATTTTTTTTCGAGTTCGAGGCCCTATCTGACCCTTATCCCATTAATGTACTCTTCTCACTAATTTTATATTCTTTAAATTTTAATTACAATTTAGAACCCATTTGGTAAGACTGAAATTGGTTGGATGTATCCATTGTGCTGAAATTTATGAAGTTTTGGCTGAAGTGACTAGATTGACTGATTCTGCTGATTTCTATATTCCATTTGATATATAATAATTTGATATTAAATCATGATAATTTACCGATACCGGAGCTTACCGTACCGAAATTTTGGTATATCGAAACAAGGTATACCGAAATTTAGGTATGGTAACGGTAAGTATTTTTGCATACCGAAAGTTTACGGTATGGTAAAGGTATGGGATAAAATCTTCGGTATACCGTACCGAACCACCCCTACTCCCACTATGTTTGGGACAATTCGGTTTACGATGCTTGACCGACGATAAAGCAAAAAGATCCCTTTCCGCACTAAAATTATTTTAGAAAAAAATAATTACATATTCAGAAACTACATTAAAATCTTTACAAAGTCGCAAACACCTGAATCAAATTTGATAAAAATTTGATATATAAAATAAGATATTAAGAGTGATTTGTGTTGACCAAGTGAATAGTTTCTGGGATAATCTTAGCGGGACTAGGGGAGTATAAAATATCTTTTATTATGAAACTAAAGAAAAATCATATCAAAAATAGATAAATTGATAATCTATAGTAACTTCACCCCAAACAACCAGAAAGTAACTCCAACCTTATTTTTTCTTATTATTGAACAATTCAGCGCGCGAAATCAAATGTTGCTTGTTTGATGAAAATTTTGACTGATATGTCTGATAAGCCGAAAAACAGGGTTACCAAACGGACACTTATATTTTTCCTTTTTATAAATCTTTTAGCCTCCCCTTAATTATTTTTGTTTCGGTTCCGCCACTATATGCATGCTGCATGCATGCATGCATGCATGGTATTTGTGCGTACAAAATTAAAAGATGTATGTACTAATGTACCTTGTGGAACGAATATGGAGAAGTATGTTAGATCCTACTATGTTATCCACTTGCACACTAGGGAAGTCACCCTTGTAAGAATAATCTACATTCGACATTTTCAGTTGTGAAATAATAACTCCCGAAGCACCGGCTTCTTTCACGGTGGCACGAATATCGTCAGCATTAACAAAATCTCCATTCTCGCTAAAACACAATACCACATTTCCCGCTAACCAAGTATCATTTTTTGATAGGGATTCACAATACCTATCATATATGCATGCATATACGTTCAAGAATTAATATAATAATTATATAATGGTACGTAAATCAAACAAGAATTATTAATAGAAATAATTCAAAATCTCCATTCTCGCTAAAACACAATACCACATTTCCCGCTAACCAAGTATCATTTTTTGATAGGGATTCACAATACCTATCATATATGCATGCATATACGTTCAAGAATTAATATAATAATTATATAATGGTACGTAAATCAAACAAGAATTATTAATAGAAATAATTACATGACTAAAATAAAAATTGCTTACAAAATGTGACACGAATAACTAAAATAATAATTGAATCTTAGTAACTTATGTTCAATTTTTAAACTTAAGTTATCAGGACACTACTATACATTGCATTAACTACGAAGTATTAGTTATATTTGTGTAAATATGTTTTATTTTAGTAATATTTTTGAAAAAACCCCCTTATTAATAACAAGGTCCATTAATTACAAGTTTGCAGAAACATGCAATATACTAGTATATTATGTACGCATTTAATAAGAATAAAATACTGTAGGTCGTATTTAATGTTATACCCGTCAAACTCTAAATCATCATCAGGATCGTCGTAAACCAAGTTAACAAGGCCTGTTTCATTCCCGGTGAACAATGCTTCACCCTACAATTTGTTAAAATAGAAATTGCTCAATATAGGATCAAATATGTTTTATTCCCCAAATATGACTTTTTAAGTTTCTTAACGCAATAAGTTGATTAAAACTTTCAAAAATATGAGTGAATGAGTCATACTTCAAGAATAAAAAATGATAGTCCTACTCACGAACTCTACCATTGTTTTAGAATGTTTTTACTTACTTATTTGAGCCCTAGACCATACTTAAATAGAGCATGATATGGTAAGCTAGATCAAAACACACCAGACTTAAACAGATCAGATCAGTTCAGGACAGATTTCAACTGTTATAAAATACACAAAGACCAGATTAGACCAGAGCAGTTCAGACCAAACCAAAACAAACCGGACATAAATAGACGAGACCAAACCAGATCAGACCACATCATAAAATTGCAATCCAATTAGATACATGTTTAATCCTATTAAGGAATTACTTTAAATTAATGTGGGATAGAGGGATGCTAAGATTCTAAGATATTATGCAAATAAATAAAAAATATACTACCTCCGTCCCATTTTAGTTAGCTATCTTTGACTTCTGAAGTCAAAGATGAAAAACTTTAACCAATTATGTTAACTAATTTTTTATGCAAAATTTATTAGTTTTATACTTTTATGATGGTATCTTTTACAAAAAAAACATTTTCTTATCATTTTCATATAATGGATACTTCTGTATATAAATATATAATCGGTAAAAGTCAGACACCCTTGACTTGAAAAGTGAAGTTTGGCTAAATAACTAAAATGGGACAAAGGGAGTATATATATATATATATATATATATATATATATATATATATATATATATATATATATATACATATTTTACCTCCGATCCATCTCTTAAACAACCTTTAACATCTTTGACTTTTCAAGTCAATGACGATAAACTTTGACCAATGATTCTGATTATTACATTTTTGTTAAAATTATTAATACTTTTATGAAAAAAAATTATGAGCAAAAGGACAATTTCATTTCACTTTGTATTATAAAATATTTCCTACATAAATATATGAACAGTTTCATTTCAAAGACTAACATCATTGACCAATTCAAAGATTACAGAATGTCAAGGAGGTAAAACATAATTTTGAATTACCGTCAGGCTTTGACCATTCCCCAATGTGATTTGTGTAGGGAATGCTCTATCAGGAGCAGAAGCAGCAACTGTTAAAATCCAAGGCGCACTACCAGACACAGTTTGACCATAGGGCCCTTCGTTACCCCCGGCCGCAACAACACTGATTCCGTGCGCAACAGCATGGAAAGAGCCAAAGTTGAGTATATCACGAGGGTCAATTTGGGAATACAAAGGCACATTTTGACCTAGCGAAACTGAAATAACATCAACTCCATCATGGATGGCTTCATCAAAGCCCTTGAGAATGTCAGCCGCTGAGCAGCTGCCATCCTCCCAGCAAACCTTGTACATGGCCAGACGGGCCCGAGGAGCGCCGCCCCTTACAGTTCCGAATGCGAGCCCGTTGTAGCTGACGTTGTGCACCGGCGAGCCCGCCGCCGTGCTTGAAGTGTGAGTGCCATGTCCATTTCCATCTTGTGGAGAAATGTGGTCTTCAATTCCTGTTGTATTTCCGGGCTGCCCTAGCTCGGCCAGGTAGCCATCGATGAAATAGCGAGCCCCTATTAGCTTTCTATTGCATTTCTTCTTTGGGTCAAATTTCTCTCCCGATTGGCAATAGCCTTTCCACTTTGAGGGAACTGGCCGTAGACCTTTATCATTGTAGGCCTCATTTTCTGGCGTCACACCTGCACCATCATCATCATTACTCTAGTGCCGCAAAGGCTCCGACACAGTGGGGTAAGGGGGTCGGATGTACTAAAGCAAAGTGAGACTGTTTCTGGAAATTGATCTAATCTAAGGCCATGTTTGTAAGAAAGGAACTGGAACTGAAGTGTCATACTACAGTATATTGTATGAGAGTTAGATAAAAGTTGATGCAACCTAAAATTTAATTGAATGAAGTAGACTTGGTTATTTGGTTAGAGTTAAAATAATGACTGAGAAATGTTAAGTTACTATAAAAAGAATGTTCTTATAGGAGCAAGAGAAATTTGAATAATAGGTGAGTAAAATTGACATAAGTTTGCCGTAAACTAATAAAGGGCTGAATTCAAATGACACAAGCACACAATTAGCAACGTTTATATTAGCTGATTAATTTTAGTTCCAAAAAGTCCAACGTACTCTTCCTTCAAACAAGGCTCTACCTGTGAACAGTGGCGGATCCAGGATATAAACTTATTGGGGGCGGAGTAATTAAAAAATGCATTAGTAAAAAATTATCGAAGTATTAATGTAATATTACAATATCAAAAGATTTGATAAAAAAATACGAAGTATATCACTTTTGTTCGCACCAAATTTTCGTTTAATTTGTAACAGTTTCAATCACGTCTATTCGATAAAACAACTTAGAAGATCACTCACAAAGTTATCACGAATCTATTATAAAAATTAGTTTTCACTATTTCATATGGTTGTTTAATTTTTACAATTGGTAAAGTCAATGCTCATTTTAAGAGCTAATACACAAAGGATGTAAAAGATCATCGAGACTTTTCAAACTAGCAAACATTTCATTGCTAACACATTATATTTTAAATATAAATACTTAGTTGATGTTGATGAGTTTAACTTTCCATACAACTAAAGTCACTTGAATAAGATTCGGCCAATCTAATCGACTTTGATGTGTCAGACTCACGAAAGAATAATCGACTTAACCAGATAGTAGTTCATTTGATTTAACTATCTAAAATTAAACATATTATATACATTTAGGATTTTTTTAACTTACTATATGACACTTTCCATTTTGTAAGTGTAAATTACTATACTCTAGTAGATGTATAACTATTTCAGTAACTTATTCATCATCATCATTACAATAGGGCTTCAAAGGCTCCCACCTACGGTGGGGTAAGGGGGGGTCGGATGTACGCAGCCTTACCCTTGCACTAAAGCATAGAAAGACTGTTTTTGGATGACGCTTAGTGAAAATCGCATTGAAAATTACAAAGAAGCGCGGATAGTTTAGTGAGTCATTTTGCTTTATTTCAATAACTTATTAATTAAATTAAATATAATTGATATAAATCAATAATCTGTAATAAATTAATAACATTATAATAAGTTTATTGACATTTTTTAATATTTATATATATATATAAAAATTAAAAATAGAATATGGCCTTATGGTAAACACCACCACCACACATATACGGATTACCTGTTAGCTAGGTACTAAACAAGTACATAGGGTATTAACCAACTTTCAAATTGACACTTGTGTGATACATAATACAGTATTTCGAAATAAATTCAATATCATACCAATTACTGTAGTGGGGCTAATATCTTCAATTCACCGTCTTGTGGGGAGGAACCTTGTTTATTGGGGGCAATCAATTATTTCTATTGGGGGCAAATGATTAGACTTCTAATATTTATTAATATATAATAAAGGTTTAGTGGGTTGTTATTGGGGGCAGCTGCCCCCCCTATTACCTTACTAGATCCGCCCCTGCCTGTGAATCGATTTGCTGAATTGATCAAATGTTAGGTCAATCATTTTAAACTGAAATGATCATACAAACATATCCTAAGTAAAATTGAGACAATAATTTGAGATAGTCAGATAGAAGTGACGTTTCAACAAGACGGTCTATGCAGAAACCATCCACCCATACTAAACAATTGATTAGTTAATGGAAATCCTGAAAATGGCTAAAACAATGGACCTTGGTCCGGACCGTTAAACCTAGGTGACCTAGTGTTAAATACGGGGTTCCTTCATAAAATGTGATAGAAAAAGTAACTTAAGTGTTTTATTGATTTATAACTTTTCCGATGTGGAACAAATATTTTTAACACACCCTTTCAGCCCGAACCGGGCTGGACAATATCAGGGTGTATAAATGGGCCAAACAGACCCTTAACAAGCTACCCTTAATAATGGGTGCTAAACAATTAAGCAGTCAAATCACAACCGAACTTGGCTCTGATACCATTTTAAGACCCGAAGTTTCATCCTAAAAGGTTAACCTGATAGGAGGAGCTCAGATCTTAATATAGTGTTTAATTGTTTAAGAGATATCTGGTGTGAAACATCAACACCCCTCCTCACAACCTGCAGACACCTTGTCTGGATCGTGCCATCATTCATTTTTTTCATCGGTTCGTCATTGTCAATTTTTTTTAACTGTGTCATCATTTTTCATACGGGGCTCCACACCATGGATAGGAGGTCAATTTGGCTCTGATACCATGTTAAGACTCAGATTTCATCCTAATAGATCGACCTGATAGGAGTAGTAGTATCCCAAAGCCTTATATAGTGTTTTATTGTTTTATAGCTTTTTCATGTCGAACAAATACTGTAACACCCGGAATTTTTTTATACGAAATTAAATACTAATACTCCGTATAATTTAAAGTAATATGAAAATTTTCTTAACATAGTAATAGTGTTTTTTAATAGGAATTTTGACATTGCACTTCACTTTTGGGATGATATTGGAATTTGCACCTTATTTAAAAAAAAAAACTTTGGCTTTGAACCTCATTTCCCTTTAAAATCTTTTGAGCCCCATTCAGATATTTTTCTTCACAAAATGTTATATGATGAGGTGTAAAGTCAATTTTTTTTTAAATAGGATGAAAAGTACCATATCACCAATAAAGCGGGGTGCAAAGTCAAAATTCCCCCGTTTTTTTAGTACTTCTTAAGAACTAATTAATTATATATAACTAGAATTAGTACGAATGAGCAGCACCTGTATCAAGAACACCAATGATGATACCATCACCCATATTAGTATCATGAAGGAGATTTGGTGGAGAATGGTTATGTAAGGGGAGGCCTAGGTAGTCCCAAGTCCTTGTTGTTTGTGTCTTATACAAGAAATTAAGGACCACCTTAACAACACCAGGTAAATCTGCATCAACAAAAGTAAAGTACGTACTTTTAATTAATTAGTAATGTGATATATGCCCCAAATTATTTGCTTTAATATTATCGGGATCAATAAGAATGTGAATGTGGTATTAATTATTTAATTACTTGCAAAGGTTTTAGCTTGGGACTTGGTCATCATGGCAGCAAAACCGGAAAAGCCATGCTTGTAGCTATAAACCATTGAAACTGCCGCTGCTTCTCGACTGCAGTATTTATACGATAGTATGTACATTTTAGTTGATGAAAATTAGTTCATAATTACAAAATAATAATACCACCCCTGTCCCAAATTGATTTGCAGTATTGACATTTTTTTTATCAAACATTTCCATTTTATTCACTTATTAATTAGGATATCAACGTTTAATAATATATAATTTAGAGTTTGCAATTTTAAAGATTTTAATTTAGTTTCTAAATATGTAAATTATAATTACATAGTATTAAATATTGAATTAACTATGAATAGGGAAGATTTAACTTTAAGACAAACAAATATTAACTTTTCAAATCAATTTGGATGAAGAAAGATGTCATGAACTAAAAGTTATTTCAACAATAATTGCCGCATGTTCTTTTATCAACTAGATTTTATTTTAACTATAGCTTTTTAAATTGTTATTTGACTAAATGACGGAAATGGATGTAATTTATTTCACTTCCATTCTCACTGTTACATATATGTGTTTCGTTGGTTTTATTACCCGATCACAAATGTATATATTAAATACATTTGACAAGAATTTTTGCGGGAATTATGCCAAATCCGTGCCAAAAACACTTTGGATCGAGCTATTTTGCACGAAAATTTGGTAATCCGTGCCGAATTCCGTGGCAATTCCGTGTTTTTTTTTGTAGTGTTTGATTTATTTTACCCGACCCGATTCGCCCATTATTCAACAATTTTAACCACTCTAGCAAAACTTAAAGAGTGTTTGCACTTGCTTAAAAAAGTGCTTTTTAGCTTTTGGATTAAAAAAGCCGAAAAGAGTGTTTTCAAATGACAGCTTGTGCTTAAATTAATCACTTAAAAGCTAAAAGCTGCAAACAGGTGAAAGGGTGCTTTAAACTGTTTTTCACTTTTTCTATTGCACAATAAGCACTTATTTTACCAAACACTACCAACTTTTACTTTTTCAGAATCATTTTTTTCTCAAATACTACCAACTTTTACTATTAAGTACTTTCTCCAAAATCATTTTAATAAATCACTTTTTAAAAATAGAAGCAATCGCAAACACTTCCTTAGGATGTTTCCACTTGTGCCGTAATTTTCCAGGATTACTCTAGTTTGTCTAAACTGTTTTGATGTCATCAAAACTGTTCTCATCTGATTCGATTTAATTATTTTACTCTGATTTTCCTT